AAACTGCCTTCTAGAATGGATGTATTTGAATTTGTAAATAAATTAATATAAAAAATAAAATTTTCTATTTAAAAAAAAAATAGTGTTATAAATGGTGCTGATTTGAAAGGAAAGCATGCAAACATGGCCCAAAGGAGAGCTCTACATAGAGAGAAAGGGCAAAAGCTTCTCCAGTGGGTTGTATTACTGAAGGATTTTTTTTGTAGAATTTTCTAGCTCTCCCAGTCTACAGTTGAAAATGTTATCATCTCAACTGAAGTCACCTCTCAGGGCAGTTTCAGAGGGAAATGTCTTTACTGAATTTAGAGAAGTCTGGAGAAGGGCACTTCCACGTAACAGCTGGCACAAGAGCCTTCTTTGTGGGGAAGGTACTCTGGGGGCAACTCAGGGTGGGAATAGCTGGGTTTGGGGGAACCTGTGCTAAGTAAGGAGAACTAGAGTGCGTCAGACAAAATGAAGGACTTGCTTGCTGCTCCAGAGCTGGAAAAAGTGGAAAAAGTGAAGTAAGCACAGAAAATATAAGTGTTTTTTTAACAAAATGAAAATCAAGCAAGGAGAATAACTGGCAGCCAAGCCTGAATAACTAGATAGAAGAATGCCTCTTCCTTGTCTCGGACAGCTCCAACAAGATCTCATCATTTTTATGGTTTCCTTGTCAGTAAACCTGTTTTGTGTTGCTGCATTTTTAATTTATTAAAACCTTTTCCTGTCTCAACAGTACCACCATTAACAACACCGGTCAGTTTCCATATGTAACATTTCTAAGCTACTTAGTGGTGGTTCTCTACTACTTGTTGTGCTGTATACAAGGCCCTAAGTTGACCATGCTGTTGATGGGTGGCCCAGGGTAGTTAGAACACTGGTCCTAAAACACCAAGAAATTCAGCAAGTGGCAGTGTAAGAAGCTGCTTATCTACTGAAAATCAGTTTGAAGGGAGTTTTATCTAAGCCAACTCCCTATCTACATAAAATATAGCATGCCTCTGAGCTCAGGGTTTATTGCTGCAGAAGTGCAATAAAAACTAACTATGCCCTGTTTCCCTTGCAATAAATATCCACTTCAACAAATTGGATGGTTGAAGGAAACTGAGCTCTAGAAAGTATAAATAACTTAACCAGAACTGAGCAAGATAGTAATAGTGCAAACAAACCCTGTGCAAGATCAGGTTCAATGACCCTAGGCCAGCGCATGAGCAGCTGGGAGAGGGAACTCAGGCCTCTCTGAAGGTTCTCCTCCTAAAGAGGCTGACCTGGCTGTCTGCATATCTAGAAGAGGCAAGGTCAATTTGCAGCTGGAGGTCCCCATTTTCAATTTTCTTCACATCTTTACTTTAAATGATTGCTCACAGAAAACGATGGAAGGGACTGAGGAATTGTGGTATATCCATACAGTGGAATACTATGCAGCACTCAGGAGCAATGATTCTCTAAAATACTACATAACGTGGGAGAATCTAGAAAGCATTATGCTAAGTAAGCTAACTCAGTCTCAGACAAATACTACACGAGACCACCATTATTGTAAAACTAGAAGGATAAGTAGTAAGATTTGTATAAAAATCCAAAAGGACAAGGGGAGGGAGGCAGGGGGTGAGAGAGTATGGAGGAGGGTGGGTAAATCACTAAAATAACAGTTTGGTGAGTGGTAGCAGGGGTTGAAGGAATTAGGAAAGATCCAATAGGAACCTGAAAAGATAGGATAATAGTTCATAGATCAGTGGTGATTACTTTTATGAAACACATTGTGCATGAATGATTGTGTAAAACAGCATGTGAATGTAGGAATATGTGAAACACAATGTACATGAATAATACACAGTGTCTATGGATTTTGTATGCAAACCAATACAAAATAAAAAATGAAGTAGAATGGGGAAGAGGAGTGAAACCTACCCACATTCTTAATGCAAATAAGTAAAAAGTCTTCATCAAAACGATGTTACTGGCACTAGCAACAAGCCCTTGGGAGTCTGCTCCTATGCAGAGCCCCCTCCTTGCCAGCAGAAGGACCAGCAAGGGTGCTAAATAGAAGCCCTGAATTAAAGGTGGCTCTGTGACCCCTGTGGGCTCTAGGATATTCAGACTCTCTCTCTCTCTTTCACACACACACACACACACACACACACACACACACACACACACACACGGCTGTCTCCATTCAGAAAAAATGCTAACAGTAACTGACATCCTCTATAATTTGAGAGAAGTACCAATTGATAAGCAGGTTACTAAACAGAAGTGACTATGTTATGTATCTTTTCCTTGACAGGACAATTAAAACTGTCATTCACGTACAACTGGTTTTATGGAAGGGAGTTCTGAAGGAAACCAAGCTGCGGGCAGCTCACACTTCTTACCTCTTCTCCCACCTCGATGTCTCGCACGGCACGCAGGAAGAGACAGGGCCCACTGAATACTATTGAGCAGTTGGGATCACAGCTATGGTTGAGCAAAGACATACTGGAGGGAAAGACAAAAATAGAGGGAGGCTATTATATATATAGCTCAAGAGTTAGAGGACAAATACAACAACATTTAATGAAAAGTACCATCAAACATGCTGGCAGAGATGTGAAAGGTTGGCAGCGCAAATCCACCAGTCGCTCTGCGGGAAAGGGACGAGGCAGTGTGCTCTGTTATGATTCAGAGCCTTGGAAATCTCATGGAGGGTCTCCACGAGTTGGAATCAATTCAACAACAGTGGGTTTGGGACCGAGTGAGGAAAAGAAGGGTGCCTGGTGCCATTGTGGTATAAACACCAAACCAACAGTTGGCAGTAAAAACCCCACCAGCTGATCTGCTGATGGCACGGCAATTCTCCCTGATCCTTTTGTAACACTGAGTCAGAATGACACATCAGCAGTGGGTTATGAGCAAAAGACATGTCTGCTTGTGAGAGGAGTAAGGGGGACAGTGCATTAGAGTCTGAGAGTTCTAAGACAGCCCCAGAAACACGGCCAACCCATTTTACAGGACATGAAATATATTTACAGTGGAAGCAAATGAAGATCAGTTGTTAATAAAAAAGCCATTTTCTGCATCCTTTTCCTTCTTTTTTCAATCAACAAACTCTGGACAGTTTATTAAAGAAAAAAGAAGGCATGATTCATTTTGACCAGTGCTTCCGATGACTGACCCTAGAATCCCCTAATCCCTGCTGCCAGTGGGCTGCTCTGTAGTATCCCCCGAGTGCTCCGGGCAGTTCCATGTTCCACACAGCGATGGATGCCAGTGAGCCAATCTGATCTGCTCAAGGCTGGCAGGGGGTGGTGAGCAGGGCTTGCCTGCACCCAGAGCATCCCTACCTCTGTTCAAAACGAGCTAGAGTTAATGGACTCAGGGACTTTTTCATCTTCTCTACAGCTACTGTCTTCCTCCTTAGGTGGGGATGGTCCCCTACCAAGATGGCAGCCCCAAGGTGGCTGGACAGGGAGACTGCTGAGTCCTTCCTGAGGGTGAGGAGGGGAGGCAGTTGCCTTATTAGAAACCACCCACCAAGGCAAGGAAATATAAAGATGGTGGGAGCCAGAGTAGGGGAGGGAGGAAGGAAGTTGGCCTATGAAGATATAATCCCTGAGCTACTAACTGTAGCAAAAATCATTCTAAAGCTTTCCCATACATGTTCTCATCTGCTGGGTTCCTTTGCAGGAAACACCATTTCTTCTGTGAATTATTTCATGTCCACAGCTGCTGTGAAAGGGGCCTAGGACTACTGCCTTTAAAGAGAAGGCTGAGGGCATCTTACTCTCTAGTTCCTGGTGCTTGGGACAGGCACTCTAGTGTCCTGAAGACACAATTCTTTACAGAGATATGGGGCAAAATCAAGCTGTCACCATAAATTGCTAATAAGTTATAACACTTAAAAATAGAAAGTTCTGGTGCCATAATGGTAAGAATCTATGCTGCAATCCTGAAGGCAGGCAGCTGCCTCCAAGGAAGAAAGAGAGGCAATCTCCTCCCATGCAACTACTGCCTCTGGAAACCCACTGGAGGGTCTGCTATGGGTTGTTGGTTCTGACTTGATGGTAATAACCCTTATAAATAAGTGAGAGCTTTGTTAGCATTTGAACATGTTATCAAACCTGATGGACACAACGGTCTTTTAACAGTCTCATGTACAAATGAGAACCTGGCACACAGAAATTAAATGACTCATAAGTGTTCCACTAAGTTACTGGGTGTATTTTTTTTTCTCTTTTTTCTTCGTTCCTTCTTTCCTTTCTTCCTCCCTCTCTCTCTCCCTCCCTTCCTGCCTCATCCCTCCCTCTCTCTTTTTTTCTTCCTCTTTCCTTCTTTCTTTCTTTCAACAATTGCAAAATTGTATGACTTGTGAGAAATATGAAAGCAGCTAAATTCTTCTGTTGTTGTTATATGCCTTTGAGTCACCTAAGACTCATAAGGACCCTATGGACAACAGCCTTAAACCCTCCTCTATCCTGTGCCTATCTTATTGTCTCTGACACCCTTAACCCCATTACCCCAGTTACTGAATCCATCCATCT